TGATGGGACCAAGGTGATGATGTAGTAGGCTACATGGTTTTAATAATACTTTTGCTTTTCAATGTTTGCCATTTCAAACCATGAGCATGGTTTAAATAATATTTGCCTTGAGTTACAATATGTTAACCTTCATTATAGTCCTTGACAGCGGTCTGTACTGCTGTATTAACAACGTGTCACATGTTAAGAATTTACAATCAGAATCGAGTATTCAACTAAGCCCTGTAATACAAGTTGTTAGTAGCCTTAAGGGCCTACACAGTTGTTATGCTATACCACATTGCCCTTCACTGGATGCATAATGAGCTGCACTAAACTACATTTTAGCATTTAAAATACCTAGCTATTCTTTTGCGGTTATTTTGGTGAAAGTAACTAAAAAGTAACTAAAGTAGTGTAACTCATTACATTTCAGAGACAGTAATATTGTAATGTAACTTATTACTTTCAAAAGAGAGTAATAAGTAATATGTAATATATTACATTTTGGAAGTAACTTGCCCAACACTGTTCATCACACATGTTGTTGCCACTTGTTTGTACCATTTTCAGTCGATTTGTAACATGTTCTAGAACAACGATGTGATTTTGGATATTTGTGGAGTTAGGTGGTCCGCGAGTGTTTTTTTATTGGTGAAGTGGTCTTTGGTATGAAAAAGTGTGAGAAACACTATACTAGGGCATTGCGTTCCAAGAATATAGGGTCGTTGGTTGTTCCTAGAGTCTCTAAAAGTACAATGGGAGCCAGAGCCTTTTCTTATCAAGCTCCACATTTGTGGAATCAACTTCCAGTTTGTGTTCGGGCGGCAGACAGCCTATCCGTTTTTAAGAGTGCTCTTAAGACCTTCCTTTTTGATACAGCTTATAGCCCCTTATAAACAAGGGGCTGATTAGATTCAGCCCCTTGTTTTGCTGCTATAGGCTTAGTTTGTCGGGGGACACCTTACTTCTTCCTTCTCTCTGTCTATACCTGTGTATTCTCATGTTCCGAATAATCCAGCTTCCCCCAAATTTCTTTTTGGTGTCTATCTACGCATGGATCCTGAGTCGTGGTTGTGCCAGGCTGTTGCTGTGGTCCTGGATCCTGAGTCCTGCATCCTGAGTCCTGGATTTCGAGTCGTGGCTGAACCTGTCACTGTGGTCCTGCCTGACTCTCATCATACTACTTCCCTGATGGCTCCCACAGGACTGTTGACATCCTCGTGGATTCATCTTCTTATTACAGACACATGCATTTCCAAACATTTGGTCTACCTATGTTGTAAATATATGATCTCATCAATTTACACACGGCATCTATTGTACGTCCTGGGAGAGGGATCCCTCCTCTGTTGCATCCCTGAGGTTTCTCCCATTTTCCCTTTAAACTGTGGGGTTTCTTTGGAAGTTTTTCCTTGTACGATGTGAGGGTCTAAGGATATTATATGTCGTATTGTCATACTGATATTCTGTACAAACTGTGAAGTTCACTGAGACAAATGTAACATTTGTGATATTGGGCTATATAAATAAACATTGATTGATTAATTGATTGACTGAATGATTCACAACATGAGACAACGAGTGAGAACAAATTAGAGAATTGTGAACCTCATCAGTTGGGCAGTCAAACAAGTTTACTGAAGAAACGACTATTGTCTTTAATTTGACTTATTCTCAGACATTCCTATTTAAGGAAATTATAAACAAAAAAATATAAACTTAATTTAAATAACTTATATTTCTGAAAAGTTATCTGAAGCTGTTATTCACTTTGGTTGGAAGAAACTTCAGAGCTATTTTTTAATAGAAAATTAGTTTATCTTATCGCTGCTATTTGTTCCACTCTTAAATCATTTGATTAAACGAAAGCTAAAGCAAATATCTGAAACACTAAGTTTCAAGTGCTAGATAGATACATATTGCATGATTGTATTTAGAAATGATTCTTAGATATTAAATACAACCCCGATAGATGCCATGCTAACTAAACAACAATGAGCAAACTGAAAATAGATTCTACATTGATTGTGTATTATTAATTAGATTTAGCTTATAATTAATTGTGCAGCTTTTTGTCAAGATTGTCTGATTCACTGATTAATGCAGATTATACATATGACTAATATTGATCAGGCAGTTATATCTGAGATCTATTAACAGTGGCAGTAAATAAGACTTTTAATTGTATGTCAAAGATGGAGATGCATCTTTCTATGTTGTATGTTTTATTTCATGCTTAACTCCTATCAACATGATTTATAATTGAAAATGTTGTTTATTTCATCAAATATTCCATATTATATATATATATATATATATATATACTATCTATATACTATATAGTACTATACACCGGGGCTGGAGAAAAAGACAAAAGCAAATGTGAATTAATTCTATTTCTTTATTTCATACTTCATGTCAAGATATCTTTTTTTCATATGAACGTATGCCTCATAATAAAGAACGTGTTTAAAGAACAAAGTAAATCGTGGCTCACAAAATAAAAGCATTCTCTCATAATATACTTTACAAAGTCATTTTACAACAAACAAAAACACAAGAACAATGTGTCGATGCAACAGCGGAGTACCATAAATCAAAGTTCCTCACTAAACGTTTGACTTGAACCTAACTGCGGCAAAAGAAGACCTGTACATACAAATACAGTTTAGCTCCTGAGATTCTCCATGGGACAGTCACTGCTCCAAACCTGAACCACGGCAACAGTAGCACCAGTGGCAAGATTTAATTGTCATCCTTTATGCCTGCTTTGGTTAAAAACTGTACTCTGTTACAAACCCCAGATGCAAAATTGCAGTGGTGGAAGATATGGAGCAAAATCTGACCCCCGTCATACACAACTGGTGAAGCAAACAAGTGCCAAAATGAAACTGCAGCCAGAATAAAGTCTGAACCTTATCCTCCTGCCCTTACTTGATCCAATCCTCATCACCTGTGAAGATGTCTGGTGATCAAAAAGGAAAAATAGGGACCGATGTTCCGGTCGTTATAAAAGTAGATATAATGTGGTGTTGGAGTATAATTATTTCTTGTTCACAACAACATTTACAGGCAATGAATGACGAGACTCTTTCTTTAGCGACTGGAAACTTTGGTGATGCAGAAGCGGCTTGAGATACCTGAACACTTCACTTTTATATTGCTTTGACAAAAGTTATCATATGCTGTACAATATTCACTGATGGCACAACCGCATTCACACATGAAAACCTGACATGAATTTGGCGAGCATATATGTATGTATACAGGAGGAGCTGCAGAGATTGTGTTGTCTACTCTCAGATTTTCGGCTGGTACTATCACACGGTTTACATTTTCCATCACCACCTCCCAAACTTAAATCTATACACAACAAAGTGGGAGTATTGGTCGGTGGAGGAGGCGTTTTCCATAGTTTTTTGTATCTCCTCGTATGCCTCCCTTTCATAACTGCCTCCCCTCAGCCAGAGATAAACTGAGAGCTATCCTCAGTTTTTTTCCGCTGCTTGCAGATCCAACATTTTTTTGGAGGAACAAAAACACGTTTCCATCTGCTAGGGAGATCTGCTCATCCAATAGATGCGTTCGAGACGAGTTCTCCTTTTCTTTGCCAAAGCCAAAGTCCCAGTTGACATATCACTCAGTCATCCGTAATCTGTCCTTTTTTCACTGCCAAAGAGTATGACGAAAAAAATCTGCTACCCTAACTTAACCCAGAAAATAGTTCCCTTAAGTAAGAAAGAGGATAGGTGACACGTTCAGCGCGGATGTCTTTCACCTCCTAGTGTCCGTTGGTCTCGGGGCCCGAGGCAGGGGTGGAAGGGGTGGAGGAGCGAGAAGCGACTGAAGCCTTTTCTCCACCAGGACTGCAAACTGAAGGAACACTGTCAGGGGTCTTCACCGCGGAAAGACCAACAGGAGAGACCCCTGCTGCTGCTGCTGCTGCCGCCCTGCTGGCAGTGATGGCAGACACTGGTTTGGGCTGAGCCTGGAGGCCTGGGCTGCAGATGAGGTGGTGCCTCTCCCAGTCTTTGTGCTGGCAGAAGGAGCCGCAGTAGCGAGCGGCGTTACAGCCGCTGCACGTCTCGCTAGCTTTACGCCCACAGTTCCAGCAACACTGAGGAAGGACAGAGAGACAACTGTAAATTTCACAGGAATTTAAAGTCAGGAAAGAAGGAATTATAGACAGGATATGCAAGGAAGCACATACAGATTTGTGTGTCTGCTTAGTAAGCTTTTACAAAATAAAAGCATGAAACAACTTATTGACATATTATTACCTTTAAATTTGATAAACTTGATAGCAAACACTTTTTCAATAAAACAAAACTGCAGACAAGGAGCAATGTTGATATTCATTTTCAGTAGTGTTTCTGGCTGCCTGATGAATTTAGGTCCAATATTCATTCTACATCAAGCTCTGTTTTTGCTCTCCACCCTGAGGGAAATATCTAACGTTTTAGCAGCTAGGTGCTGTTGGTTACATTTTTAGAGCTTTTCCACAAAAAAACACTGAACATCAAAACACTGATAAGCATGATAACAGTGATTCAAATATGTGAATTTACATGCAAAAAATAATAAAACTGAAATGATAGAGACTGTAAAGCTTAGTAGAGCTGAGCATCAGACTCAGGTGATGACCATGTCTGCATTTAATGTCACTGAGATGTAGTCATTTAATCAAATATTGTTATAAAAGGATATGATTTTAGCAGCTTTGATTTTGAATATGTGTGCTTGTATGCAGAGTCTGTCTTATTAAAGCATGACCTCAAAGAACCTCCAGAATCTAAATCTCTGCTCACCTCGCTGGAATCCTCCTGCTCGTTGATGACCAAGATGGCGTCCGCTTTAGCCTTCTTCTTTGCATCGGACAGAGTCTTTTCCATCTTTGCCCTTTCAGAAGAAATCATTTCAAATGCCTTCTGCTCAGCCTCCGCTACTGCTTTCTGGACCTCATCCATGGCCTGCCGCTTCACCTCATTCACTGCTTCTTCTGCACATCAGAGGAGACAAATGTTGCAATTGCAAGTTTAAACTCTGCACAATAGCATCGGTAAAAATAGACCAAGGATCAGCACACAGTTTAATGTTATGTGATCAAAACATTTACTCTTTAATCTTGATGTAATGCTTGAATACAATTCAACCAGGATTATCTTTATGTCTACCTTTAGCATTTTTTTTTCATACCACATCAAACACTTTTTACACATGATGGGTGTTCTTACCAGCTTTCCTCCAGATCTCATCCGTAACGTATGCTGATCCTGGCCGAGGAGCAAAGTCTCGCTGGGAGTCTGCGGGAGAGAAGAGACAGAAGGGATTAGCACTTGCCAAGGATTATAAAGATATTAAGATGACTCATTGTTCAAATAATGTCAGATTTTGTGACTGACAGCTCAATCAAGGTAACAGGTTCTCACAAAGAGAGGCTACAGAGGCATGCTTTGATATTATCTGTGTCATCCGCTCTTTTATTTTTGTGCTTGATGCAAACAAGTCTGCATATCTAGGCCACACAACAACCATAATTGTTGTTTATCGGAGTCTTGGACTGATGTGAGATCTGACAGCTTTAGAAAGGAATGTGTTTGGCTTGGAGGCAATTTGCGGACCAACAAGCTGTGTCAACATTCTGTCTGTTCCCTCGAATCCATCTCTCTTTTCCTGCATCTCAATTCATGTCTGTGTTGCTACTGTGCCTCTCCAACCCCGCCACCTGGCTCATATCCTTCTTCCCCCATCTTTATATCTTCCGTCTCACCACCGCTTTCTCTCTTTTCCTTCATTTACATCCTCTCCCTTAATCCAAGCCTGTATACACCCTCCCTGCCGCCGTTTCCACCCCCACTGCAGTCTTCCTGAGCTCGAGCCCAGGCAGGCGGGCTTCCCGGCTGGGGGCCCAGATGGTGCTCAGGCGAGTCAGCCAGCTCTGGGTCTCTGAGCCTGCAGGACGGCAGGACAGCCCTTCTGTGGCCGATATGGCCGAGGCCAGTCCTGGCACCTGTCTGTGACTATGGACCAGCAGGGGGAAGGCAAGGCTGGCACTCAGAGAGAACTGTGCCAGGACACAGCAGACTGAGGGAGGCACTGACACCGGGCTGAGCTGCAGGACTGTTCATGACCACTAGAGGGCGTAAAGAGTATGAAATAGAAGAAAGAGGCTGTGCTGGTTGGTTCTCACAACCTTTAGTATCATGATTCATGTCCACTAAGTACATCTCAGGAAGTTCCAATTATTATTAAAAATCTCTCGGCATTTAAGTTAAGGTTTTGGAACAGACTTACATTTATGTAAAACCTGTTGTGCCAATACGTGTGGCTTTTTTTTTTAGGATCTGACACTGATGCTTATTCATATTAAGCAAAAAGGATCAGTTATTCTAAAACACAAATCATGAATAACACACACAAATGTACTACATTTCGTTCTCCTACATAGCATACGTTCTCAGAGCTTGGGTAAATAAAACCATCTGCCTGGTAGTTAATTCTACCAGACTTAATGATTTTTGTCATTTCTGGTGAACTGTCACTTTTAAGCTCACTGATTTACTGACTAACTTTGAATGGTGTTGCTTCATCCCATGGCTCATAACGCAATCTTCTCATGTTTAGAATCCAATCATAGAGTTATTGCTTTTTGAGGCAAACCAACATAATTGAATTAAAAATAGCGGTACCAACCTGACTCTGCTGAGTGGGGGCTGTGTGTCTTGGAGAAGGGAGTGGAGGCGGACCCTCCTTTGCGGGGGTCTTCCTGCTCGCTCGAACGCCGTCTCCAGTAGTTGAGCTCCTCGCGGTCGGACTCCTGGCATCGTCTGAGCACGCTCACTGACCTCCGGGTCTTTTCCACCATGTCCACAATGCAGTTCAACACCTGCAGGATGACGAAGGACACACAATGTCACTGAGTTTTTTCCTCAAAGGTCCCCTATTATACTGTTCTTCATCAATATATTATAGGTCTCAGATATATACAAAACATGTCTCTGAAGTGTTTGGTTCAAAATACCAAACAGATCACCCAGTGTAGTATCCCATAAACCCCAGATTTTCTCTCCGTTACTTTAGATGAAAAGAAGGAGCCCCTCCCCACGCCCCTCTGAGAGATATTTGGTTAAAAAGAACACAATGGTGCTCTAGGAGGAGATTTCGGTGATAAGGTGGGGGTGGGGGTGGGGGGGGGGGGGGTTACCTTGGTTGGTGATTGGCTAATGGTTACACAAGCCAAACAATCATTATGACATCATAAAGTGGCCACAATCTGATCAGCTCATTTTCAGACAGGTTTTTATATAAATGGATCAGGGCAAAAAGAAAGAAAAACTTTTTTCCTGAAACTTTCAGAATCTCTTTACACAGAGGGGACACATGTTTATGTATACAATACATGAAAAAGTGGATTTAGCATAATAGGTGACCTTTAACCAAAATAATTAATCTTATCTCATTAAATGTAGTACAAATTGAGGAAATAATTTTTTGGGAGTTGCTATTTTGTCATTGCAAAAAATATTCTTTCTATATCCCAAGCCATTAGCAGTAGTGGTGCCTGTCTGCAGACTTACATGGTCCAGATGCCTCCATTCATCAGCCCACTCTCTGTCTGTCAGTCTGTGGTCCACCGGTTCCTCGCGGTAGCCTCCGTTAGTGCCTGATTAAAACACGCACAAGACAGACCACACGCAAATGTGATTAACATTATTTTTAATGTACAAAGAAGCCACAAGTGACAGTAAGTGGGTACACGTTGTGTGTGTCTATATCTGTGTTAAAGCTGAGCTGTTTTCAACACTCCACAAAATGAATTACTTGCTTAACATTTCACTTAATTCGAGATTTATTTATCATATATTGGAATTATATAATTTCCTCACATAGCAGAAGGGACATTATTAAAAGGCAGTATTTTCTTACACCCATAATATAGTTTGACAGGAGAGAGGTAAAGTAGATGGAGGGCAGAAAATAAGAAAAGAGTCAAGATGAACTGGGGGATTGTGAGCGAGAAAGGTGGGGTGAAAGAGAAAAGGAGAAGCCTGTGATGCAAAACAGACTTCCAGCAGCCACAGCCTGCACACATCTGGAAGTCAGCTGTCAACCACACACACTCCCCAAATGTCTCCCTTAGCACCTCCCCTCCTGGAGCTCACAGCATTCCAGTAGGGAGACACTGAGGCTGAGTGGAATGGCTCCACTTCTAAACACAACCAGCCGTGGCCACACACACACAACACACACACACAGCACACACACACACACACACACACACACACACAGCACACGACACACAGCACACACAGACACACACACACACACACACACACACACACACACACACACACACACACACACACACACACACACACACACACACTCTAAATTGTACATTTTACAGTAATAACAGTTTGCAAAAACAAGCTTGTACTCACGCAGAGAGCAACACATTTATTTAAACATGTCAGAGAAACACACTCACTACAAAGACTTAGCTAACCACAATCTCTTAAAATTGAGCAAGAAACAGCCAACAAGAAGCCACATGCAGACTAGGTCGGCTCAAAAAAACAATTTGTTCATGCAAACACAATCCTTTCCCTCGACCTCTTCTCTACTCCTGGTTTTCATCAGTGTTCATCAGTTCAAAGCCACGAGTGTGTCGACTGATGTGTTTATGCGTGCGCGCGCGCGCTTGTGTGTGTTTGTGTGTGTGTGTGTGTGTGCCTATGAGTTAAGTGGCGGCAGGCGGGCGGGAGGCTGTCAGACAAGGGACTAAGGCCTCGTAAACACAGCACCTCTACCATGAACATATCAAGGTATGTTTCTGTGTGTGTGTGCCTGTGTCTGTGAGCTACTGCTGTTTCCACTGCGTGCTGACAAGTCCCAAATGGAGGCTAGATATACACCAGAGTAGATCCAACCCTCCCTGCCTGGACAGTATGGCTCTGTTTATACACACGTGTAGACTCCAGAGATATGTATGGGGACTGCAACACAAACACACAGACCACCCCGTATCACTCACAGTATACGTGTGTGTTGCGAAGTTTTACATTACATTAAACGTTTTTGGGTTGAATTAATTTGTGAAGAAGATACAGATATGCTGAAGGTAGTGGAGAAAGAGCAGAAGTGATTGAAGCAGAAAGGGGCAGGTTCTGCTGGTAATGGCTGAAAGCGTCACATGATAGGAGGATGTCAGAGTCACAAAATGAAAACAGCATGGTTATTTAGTTGGTTGCTCAAGAAGAGGGAGAATGAGGGAGTGAAGAAGTGGCGTAATTGTAAATTACATTAAAAGTTTTTGGGTTTAATTTATTTGCAGCAATGTAATTAATTGAATAATTTAAGTACGCACACCAAATGAGGGGCAACAATTGATGAATGTCTGATGCTTGTTTAAATAAACTATCCACTACCAGCAGCTACGAGTGAGATTGAACATCTCTTTAGAAATAAATACTTATCAGATGCTTAGACTTATCAGAACTTTACGTACCGGGTAGTCTGGGCCTGTCTTTGAGCTCACGGATCTCCAACAAGCGCTGGCTGTGCTCGCGGTGTAGGATATGTGGTGCTGCGATGTCATCCAGGGCGTAGTGCTGCAGGGGGGGAGGGGTCGGGTGAAGCTGGGCGCTGAGGGGCAGCGGGTGGGCGGGGCTGTGTCGGGGAGCAGGGCTGATGGTGCAAATCCGTTTGGCGGCGGGTTCCATGGCTGCGGGGGGACGTTCATGAAAACCATTCTCTTTAGCTCTGCAGAAGAGAGGGCAGCAGAATAATGACAGCTGTTTATATATGATTCAACTAACATACAAAGATGGCAAAAGTACACACATCCTTTACTCAAGTAGAAGTACAGATACTCGTGTTTGAAAATACTCTGGTAAAAGTAAAAGTACTGACTAAACTTCTTTATTCAAGTAAAAGTAAAGAAGTATGGGCTTCGAAATGTACTTAAGTAAAAAGTACCCATAACTACCAGCTGTTTTAAAGAGTAACTGAACTAACTTTATATTAATAGAACAATAATGTCATTGTTAGCTAATGAATGTTTCCATGCTGAACAACGGCAGAATGACAAAGTTCTCATTGGTCTCTCTTGTTTAGAGAAGACCAGGAAATGATGGATACACGGATCGTGTTAAAATCAACAGGCACGCAATGACTCTAAATAATAATGATCAGGTCACCAAACACACATTAACACTAAAGTAACCAGCCTGTTTTGAAAATGTAAGAAGTAGAAAGTACAGGTATTTGTGTTAAAAATGCAAGAGGTAAAAAGTCATCAGAAAAATAAGTAGTGGAGTAAAATGTACTTAAATACACTAACAAAGTATTTGTACTCCACTACTTCCCACCTCTGTTAACATGTAGTATTTTCTAACCTGTGGGGGCTGTGTCTCTTGGTCACTGCCTCTGGAGGCTCCATCAGCAGCTCCGAGGAGTCTGGAGAGGAGGCCATGGTGGTGCTCAGCAGGAGATGCTCGTGCTGGGACAGATACTGGGCGGGGGTCTGCTTGGCTGCCCGTGCACAGTGGAGGAGCTCTCTCTGCAGCAGGGGGAGGTTGGCCTGGAAAGAAGAAAAATAGAAAGTCTAAAAAACTCTGGCAAATAAACTAATCTTCCTATTTTTGATAGAACCCTGTTGTACCAGTTTAAATATCATCCGTCTGTCACTCACATGAGTCACACCTTACATTCAGAGTAAAACACAAAAAAGAAAATGAGCACTAGTCAGCTTATCATTAAAGTAGTGGGGGGGGGGGGGGGGGGGGAGAGCTGGAGCCAGGAGACCACCAGCACACTGTACCAGGGCTAAGAGACACATTGTAAGTTATGCCTCCCTGGGAAGACGCTATAGTGGGAGTGGGGGGTTTTAGGTGGGGGCACTGACTCCTTGAGGTCTGGCTGTAAGGCTCAATTTGGGTCTGGGTGTTGTTCTGCGGCTGCCTCCATGGTGGCTGTGGCCTCCCTGGCCCAAACGAAAATAAATGTGTTTTCTATGCTGCTGCTGAAGTTGGTTACTCATTACTGTGTTGATCAAAGCATAGATAAAGAGGCTTATACACTTCGAAACATTTCATAACAAATGATACACTGACTCCACTTCTCCCTCATTGCTTACCTTCTCTCTTTTTTAAATGTTTATCTGTGACTGTCTCAGTCCTATCTTTCCATCTCGCTTTTGTTCCCCGCATTTCCCTAATTAGGAACAGACTCCGGTGTGTTTGCAATTACGCCACTTCCTCACTCCCTCATTCTCCCTCCTCTTGAGCAACCAACTAAATAACCATGCTGTTTTCATTTTGTGACTCTGACATCCTCCTATCATGAGGCGCTTTCAGCCATTACCTAGCAGAACCTGCCCTTTTCTGCTTGAATCTGTCTCCACTAGCTTCAGCATATCTGTACCTTCTTCACAAAAGGTGCTGATAGATCTGCTTTATGGTCCACTCTTTGTCTCACCCCTATGCTCTCTTTCCCCCCCTATCTCCCATGCTTCCCTCCCCGGGGCCCCAGCTAGCGGACACGTGCTGGTTGTCAGTTGAGCAGAGGGCTCTCTGGGGTTCAGCGGGGCGGATGCTGGATTGGCGGCGCCTTGGCAGCTGAATGGTCTTTTAAAAACAGGACAGCAGCTCCATATGGCACACTTAAGCTCATAAAAAAGGGAAGGGAACACTTTATAGGCATGTTTCACACTTCCGAGTTCCCACTTTCCTCCTTATCCACCTCACCCTAACTTTGTCCCATTTGTTGATTTCTCTCCTACTCTTTTTCTTAGTGCTGACTACTCTAATAGGAGTTGGAATTGAGTTGTAGGGACCCAACCTTCTCGTATAAATTAAAAGAAGGAGGGGAACAGAGGTTTCTTGTATAAGCACTCTCGGGCAGACAGATGGAGGGGCTCCAAAGGTGACTAATAGGTAAGTGTGGAAAAACAGCAGATTTCAACTGACTGAAGATTTATAGGCTGCTTTACCGAGGGGAGCTACTAAAAAGTATACTCTTGCAGACTCCCTTGGTTACAAAGGGGCTCAAGAGGCAGTTTAACACACCGACTCATCTGCTGCTCGTCAAGTCAACACGCAGATCTCAATAAGTCACTTTGAACTGCAGAGAAGCTGTTCATTCAGTTGGAGAATACACATATTCTTATTTATTACTACCACATTTTATCCTAGAAACACGGTAATAAAATCAAACAAACATGTGATTTTCCCAACATGACTCACAAGCTCTGGTGTGATTGCCATTATTGACATCATACTGAATGAATGTTATGTAATCGAATAACCTTGTCTTTGTCACGTTACTCTGCAATAAATGATGCTGAGTTCAACCAACTCAGCCAGGAGAAGTGGGGGTGATCCTTATATTATTCTGAAGGGGTAACTATAGGGTGAAGGGTATAAAAGTTAAACTGAGACAGGGAAGAAAATACTTCTGCAAAGAAAAAAAAGGAAGTAGTCCAACTGAATAATGCAAAGCAAATATTGGTAGATGGATGGGAGGTTGGAGATGTGTTTACCTTGAGGAAAGGAATAACAAAGGGCCGTAAGGGGAAATTGGTAGCCTCCTGAAGCCGTGAATGGAACTCCTCAATGGTAACCGTGGAATTCTAGGAGACCAAAAAGTGAGGTTAAACAAATAAGTCAATCCGTCATGAAGACAAAAGCAGATACATATTCTAAAATAAATTATCTTCCACACAAGAACTTACCACAAGGGCCAGAACCAGGCTGCGGACGCTGTCTCCAATCTCAGGAGAGATGTCGTTGCCAAACTGCTGCAGCGTGGTCAGGAAACGTTTCAGCTTGCTCAGCTGGCGAGCCCCGCAGGTGGCCGGCAGCTGCTGGTTGGCCAGCGAGGAGGAAGAGGAAGAGGACGGTCCGTTGCTGTAACGCTGCGGTGGAGATGGCACTGCATTCAGGGTTGGTGGGGAATGATGATGATTCCCATTGGTCACTGGGGAGAAAACCGAGAAGAAGAGGGGAGAAATTAATATTGTCCTCTCTTCTAGTGGACCCATTTATGACATTAAGGATATCATGAAAATTACGCCTTAGGCTAGCTGTTTATAGTATTAAAGAAACCTTGTGTAAGAAAACATTCTAGAAGGACCCTTACATGCTGTGGTGGAAAAGGAGGCCGGGCGAGGGCCGCTGGGGTTGACAGAAGGCAGGGGGGGCATCGTGGAGCTGATGGGGGCTGATCTGGAATGAGTCTTAGCATCCACAGGAGAACCGGGCATGGCAGGGCTCTTCTTCTCTCTACTGTCTGCAGAAAGAGAAAGAGAGAGGTCAGCTGTGGTTAAAAAATGTTGTTGTCATATTCACAATTCTCTGTGAATTAAACGTACAGCATATACACAAATGAACAAATTAATTTCAAAGACACAACCACTTTATTGAAAAAAAAAAAGAGAAGGAATGTAATGTGTCCAAATTACAAATAAACAAGCAAATAAAAAAAGGCAGCTGTTGCTTTCAGCCCAATATTTAAAATGAATGCAAACGTTTCAGGTCTATAGCCACAAAAGAAAACTAAAATGCCCACCCCCCAAACCCACTTCAACATCATACAACACATACTGCCAGGGCACCAACCACCCTGCACCAGCCGCCCCCCTCCCCCTCCCCATCAAAGAGCCAGATGTCTAAAGTTTAGCCCCTCACTCCCCAACTATTCAGATCAATAACAGAAGAAATGCTGAAGAAGCCTATTGTGTGGGAGAAGAATGCCCCCTCATTGAGCTCCCAAGTAAATGGGGGGTGGGGGGGGGCGGAGAGAGAAAGGGACAGGGTTATTTCACGCTTTACTAACAAGATAGGCAAAGCTTTTGAATGTTAAACGCAACTTCTCAATATGCTATTGCCTCTGAATGAGACCACCAGATAAGGGGTATGGAGAAAGTGAAATGGGGGTGTGGCGGCGGGGAGATGTGGGATCAGAAGGCGTCTTTGTCTCTTGGAGTTCCATGAAGACAGGGTCCCGTCTCCATTTAGAGTGGATCAGACTTTTCTAACTGCTTTAAGAATGGACGATTAATAGACAAGCCTGGTCTCGCAGGTCATGGGTCAGCTGAGAGCAGCTTTTTAAATGTGGTTTCATGCTTTAAGGGCTTTGGTTTCAATGGCACCCATTATATCTTTTTCACAGCTATGAACTCTGCATGGCCTTGAGCCACAGGGATCCAGTTTATAAAGGCTTCAGTTAGGAGGTTTAAGCCGTCAGTAGGTAACTCGTAAGAACTCGTAAGGATACATTAAAAAAATAAAAGAAATCAGTGCACTACGAATTCAGAGAAAAGTTTTGTTGTACGCTGAGCTGGTCTAAGGATGGAGGGTCTTGCATGCTTTATACACACTTAAGACTTTGAATTATATAAATACAATTTGATTGATTGGTAAACAGGCATGATTGCGCACACAAAATAAACTCCACAACAAAGCTCTCAGCCATGCTTTCTCTTTCTAGACTGAATCTGCACACTTCAATCTGCACTCATCTGCAACTGATATCTAATACTTCCCTGAAAATGAAAAACAATATGCACTTAACCTGAATGGAAATCTAATAAAAGCTAACTTTTGCTATGTATTTAAATGATTTAAATGCACCGACTGCTGCTGAATGACCCGGCCAGCAGCAAAATACATTTAAGCCTCTTTTAAACGTTCTCCTATGTACTAGTGAGTGGTGCTTTTTAACCAACATTTTAAAATACAACATGCTAACATGACCAACCTGAAAATGTAATACATTCCCAAAAGGGTATTATGGGAATTATCAGGTGCTATATCCCTCTGGTTCTTTCTCAGCCCTGTCTGCCATCACTCCACCTGTTCCCCAACACAGGGGGCAGGAAGGAGGGATCTATGTAAACATTTGGACATCACACACGCAGCCTGCCAGTGCACGACACACGCACACACACACACACACACACACACACACACACACACACACACACACACACACACACACACACACACACACACACACACACACACACACACACACACAATCAACAGGGCGTCTGGCCTTAGGGTCAAGATTGTGACCATGTAAACAACTGCATATTTATTGGACCTGTGCTATAGAGCTGCATTGAAATGTATTCACATCATCAACATGTATCTACTGGCTGTGAACTGACTGTCCTTCTTGAAAAGCTGCTTGTTAGCCTATTGTTTGACTGACAGGTCCACATGAACCCGTAGAACATAAACATGCTCAACAGATACAACATGTGTATTATTGCACATCCCATGTCAGCGTAGAACCGGGAAATTGGGTTACAGCTGTGTTCTTGTAATCTTAAGATGTGGTATGGTCTGTTAGCCATGCCAGAGGTAATGGCCAAAACAAGAGACATCAGGTGTGTGTGCAATGCATGGAGTGCTGACAGCCCGTAGAGAATTGCCTCTGCCTGTCAATTAGACAGAATACATAACTGGATGACTTCATCAGGCTTAAGAGCACCTGAGTCCATCGTGCAAAGTCACAGGATTGTCAGGGGAGGCAGCTGTTACAGCAGCCACAAAACACACACAAACACACACCGACACACATCGTACAAAGTGGTCTGATGTTAACTCAGGTGTGTGTTGGCTGAGAGGAGGATGTTGGATGTTTGTTTGGTCTAAATGCCACCTGTCATCTTTGCCCTAATGAAACAAAGGAAAGGCATACACTCTTTAGCTTTCATCATAAGGATAACATGGAAATGTCAAGATGCAGAGAAAGCATTTGAAGCTAACTGGATTACAAAGTGAGCAGACAAACATGAAATCAACTGAATATGACATTGTCCACCAGAGGACTTCATTTACTCTCTTTAAAAAATGTTTTTCCGCTCACCGATTTGATGTCCCTTCTGTCTTTTCATCCCTTCTCAAACAGATCACATACATATACAAATGTTTACGAATGTGAGTAACCTGAGCTCTCTACAACAATTGTTACAGCAGGGTTGGAAAACTGGTGTGCATCTGTGGAGAGGGCCGTCGTTGCTAGCCAGGTGTTCCTTGTTTGTTCAGCTTCAGGTGACGCTCGTTTGCATTAAAACATTCAATGAGCTTTAATTGCCTCTGCAGGTGAGGATTTAGAATGAGGCTCGGAGAAAAAGAGATAGAGCTAGAAGAGAGAGAAGGGCAAACAGAAGATGGTGATCCCCATCGAGCCACTACTGTAACTGAAGACTTCATTCAATTATTAAAAATTGGAAATGACAAGAAAATTAAGTGCAGAGAACATTAATTTACCTCCTTAAGTGAAGTGAGGATGGATGGATGGATATACTTTGAGTCAGTACAAATAAATGAAGCTTAATGTGATGTTTAAATAAATGTGTTCAGTGTTAGGATGTATTAAGCTCATGGTTTAAGAAGTTAAAACTCTCTGGCAGCTGAGAGTCACGAGGCGTGTGTGTGCGAGGATGTTTGCTGATTTAGGATTGTGCGTGTACCCGCGCCTCGCTGCTATCTCTGTCCTGTCATTGTAGATGAAGTGAGAGAAGACGTAACTCAGGCCTGACTCATTTATCAAGGAGCAAAAAGACAATTCAGAGCATGTGGAATGCAACAACTATGTGGGCCCAGAAGATATGTTAACACCCACAGCAAACTAAAACAAACCTTAAAACAGCTTGATAAAGGAATAATGATGAATGTTTTCTAACTAGAAATTAGTTGAGAGAAATGTGAACAGAAACATTTTAGCCTAGCTCATCACAAACATTGGAACAAGAGGGAAACAAAGCTAACTATGTTACAAAACAAATGTAAACCCTACAAGGAGTCTAGAGGGTTAGCTTTCTGTCCAACAAGTAATGTCCTAACTTTCCAAACTGAAAAGACCCAAGGGTATTTTACCAGTTGATAAACAGTTAGCCTGTCCCCAAGTGTAAATAGGAGAGCATCTTTGCTGCAGGCTTGTTTATCTTTTGTTGTTAGCTTTTTCATCCGATTGTACATTTTGTGTTAAGCTAGGCTAAATGTTTACATGAGAGCAGAAAAAACTAAATGAATTTATAATGAAAACAGAATCAAACCATGTTGTTTTATTCCATGGAAGTATAAAAGTGATATTCTGACACTGATTCAGCCCCACGCAATTAAAACAACCTCTCAACTTAAAAAAACATAGAGCGGATCAACAGCAATATTTCAAAGTGGTCTAAGGGGGAATACTACTAATACAAATCCCAGAGTAAACTGAAAAAACGGAGAGACATACAAGGAGTGGAAAAAAAGTGAAAAAGAAATAATTGAGCAGTTGTCTTAAAGCTACAGTAAGGGGCAAAAAAGGGACAAGCTCCCTTAGCACCCATGCAACTGATGGGGGCTCTCTCTCGCTCTCTCTCATCCTCCCCCGTCCCTCCTCCTGTACCATATGGATCTAATCGGCCAAGAGCTGGCCAGNTTCCAAAGTGCTTCCACAGCAGTGACACACATCTGATCTGTGGATAATCAGCAGTGTTGCTGGCGTTTAGTGATGGTTGCTTTAACCATTTTCGTATAAATGATTATCCACAGATCAGATGTGTGTCACTGCTGTGGAAGCACTTTGGAAATGATGCACGCGCAGCGGAGCAGGTCACGCGCACCTGACACAGTTCTCTTTTTTGAATGGTTGCATAACGTTCAACTTCCCCGAAGATCTCGACGCGAAGCCTGAAGGGTAAACACCAGGTTTACTAATCTACCCCCAGAATTTGTCCGGTGTCGGAATGTCTCGCTATGTTAGTACATTCTTAAAAAACAAAACACCATTTAATTTCGGGTTAAAATGTGTTGTAACTGCGTTACTGAGCATTGTAACGGGTAATATATTACCCACATTTCATTAGTAATGCGTTACATTACTTCGTTACAGCAAAAAGTAATATATTACTGTAACTCCGTTACTTTTGTAACGCGTTACACCCAACACTGGTGATGAAGGTGTTGCGCTGGGCTATATCATGCAATCAAAACAAAGCTCGCTCCATTGCGGAGATATTCCCGCGAGAGTGCGGAAAAAAGTCCGCGGACCACACTTTGAGAAGCACTGCCCTAGTAGGACAGATTCAGTGAATCGTGATGAAATATGCAAGAGCCATCTTTGAATTCAGCTATGAAATAATAAGAAAGCTCTCCTATAAATTGAATTATTCAATGATATTATTCAGCTATCATAACAAAGCAAACCTGACACAATATCAAATATTTATTTTAGAACACTAGCTATACACTATTTCTATCCAACGGGAACATACTATTCAACCGTAGCAGATAGTTTACAAAAAACAATAGGTTTTCTTTTCTGCTAAGCTGCTGCTAAACATGTATGAACAAAAACAAGAGATCCATCGTTTTTTGATATTGGTTAAGATTGTATGTAAAGCCATTTTAAGCACAGTATTTTAATTGACTGCATATTCTGTTTTACTTCATGTTTTACTTTACACAGAAGGATGTTGTGCAAATTGTGAGAAGAGTTTTGAAAATGTAACTGTAAATGTGAAAATAAATGATCAAATCTAATCCAAACAGAGGCCAATAGGCAGAAGAAATGTGTAATATTGTGTGTAAACACGAGGTGGCAGTATAAGCTTTTGTTTGAGAAGTGAAGTGTCATTGCTTTAGTAGAAGATAAGGGACTTGTGGCCTGTGATGAAAAACGGAAAGGACTTTGAAACAATCTACAAATGCCGATCTATGAAATTATACAGTATAACTCAAGTACAAATTCCTCAAATGATACCAAGTACAACTCTATGTTTTTTGACAACACTCCACCGTTTCTGGTAAAGGCATAGATTGTAGTTGCTGATAATATAGGCTACATTTGAATGAAAGCAGCTTATCTTCAAGATCATGATTTTAAAGAGTAATTAGTTGATCTAAAAATTCAACATGACTCATCTGTTGTCTAGAGGTAATTGCGTAAGCATGTGTGCCAAAATAGAGTTGTTCGGTGCCTGTCTAGTAGCATGTTTGGGATCTGCTTTCGGCTGACGATAAGATTTGAGTGGTTTAATGCTGTGGCTCGGATATCACATGGAGTGCAGCGGCTGAATTCTGAAGTTAGGTCTAACATGGATCTGTATGCAGTGTTTCCCCTAGGATGGAGTCATAGCAGCGGTGCTAAGGCACGCGGGCCCAGCAAAATGTGAGCGCGGCGCGCGTGGACATTTTAAGTGTGTGCGCGTGCGAAGTGCTTCCCGCCATTATGTTTCTATTTGTCTGCCAGCACAAGAAAGACACATACATCATTAAAGGCTTCAAATGTATTCAGTATTGTATGAACATAATTGGTGGTTGGACATCACATCCTCTAGGGGGGTCCGGGGGTATGCCCCCCCGGGAAGATTTGTTTTTACATTTTAATATAAAATGCTTCAATCTGGTGCACTTTTAGCACACAATGACTAGAGACTAGATCTAACTCTAAACACCCATATGAAAAAAATCGTTTTACATTTTAATAATCAAATAATTGAACATACCAATAAACTACCATAGCCAATAACACATATGTAACTTATTTTATTTTTGTTGTTCATTTACATCACTTTCATCAGGCAATTTTTTAGTTTAATATCAGGTGTCAAAAGAGCATGGCACCTAGTAATGAATGTGCCAAATGTCTCCACTTCGTTCCACTGCCCCATTGACTTGAATATCTTGGGTTCTGCCACCCTTCATGCAGATCTAGATCCCCTCCGCTTCGCGTCGGGCTCCTGATCAGCATGTCGGGTGTTCTTTTCCCCATAATGACCGCGTCGCTGCACATTATCCCTTACAAACTAGCTTAGTTAACTAGATGTAATTCATTCTTAACTGTAGGCTTTTATCAAAGTATTAATTTACTTAATCTAAATGTAACAACTATTTTAAATTATAATTAACTTACTATTTATGACCAACAAAGTCCTATTTAGGTGGTCTTCTTCGTCTCTCTTCATTTGGTATGTCCTGGTGCCTTCCCCGAGACATTCACAAATCATAGTACGGTTCATGTCCGGGCCAGGTCTGTCTTAACCTGAGTCCCCCGTAGACTCTAATGTCCCGCGCTCTCATCATCCAATGATACTCGTTATCACCGGCCGTTGCGTTACTTTTTACGTACCTACGCGGGGTTATCGTCTAATACGGTAACAATACACTTTGCGTTCGTTCTCTTGTCAAAGTCACTCATTTTCACTTTAGGCTTTATAAAGTATATCAGGTCTCACCCGAGTACTTTCTTTTCGTGTTTTCGAGGTTTTGCATGACTATTTTGTTTACTCCTTGTATAACATTTAGTTCGTTTATAATAAACTTGGTCCGAGTACCACTTTCCGGTTTGACTTTTCTTTTCGAATAATTGGTGACATGAGTGTAGTGGATCAGGAGACCTTCTCTTATCAAATACACGAATTTTGACCATTGTGTAGTCTCACTCCAGACTGCACACTGACCCTTGGAAGTCGACGGTTGTTAATGCGAGCAACTGTCGACCCTATACTCTAAAACATCGTAGCACCACTTCCGAGCCGATAACTACGTATCAAACCTGGGTTGTAAATATGTCCCGTACGTCTATACCGTGAAAACAGTGTACTTATAGGTAACAATAACATATGTGTCGACGTTTACTGGCGGATTGGGGTGACTGCGTCCATGACAAATTCTGTATGGACCCCGCTCCGACACAAACGGCACCTATAGGACCCTGTACATCTTTAAATTTTATCTACACGTACATAATACATCATCTTCGGTATGACGTTCATTTACGAAATATGACTTTTTGTCCTTTAAGACCCCACCGGATTTTCCGTCAATTCGAAAATAGACCTTTTAGGAATAGATGCCAATCGACATCGTACACCGAATATGCTAGGATCTCCACTTCACTCATCGCCTTTACTGCACACACTTTTGGCTTTGGATGACTAAATTCGTGATTGATATTCTACAGGCTCTTATATGTGTACCGCTT